TATGGACAACAAAACAGTAATAACAAAATAAATAATAATAACTAAAACACTGCTATTGTGTTGAGGTGTAAACAGCCTAATGTAACGTTTAAAAATTGTATTTTTAGAGACAACAAATGAAAAGATTGTTTTGGAGAATTTGCATATGTGGACAAGGCCTTAAGGCTGGTTTATACTCCATGAGAAGTTCCGATGTTGTCTTGCTGTTGTGGTTGTGTGATGAAAATTGCATATTGTTTCTATTCACGCTCTTGCTGAGACACCGTTTTGTGCATTGCCCCCCAGTCAGAAGGAATTTCTCAGAGTATGCGCCAAGCATTGCATGACTGGTCAGAACTTCGTTTGCTTTTGAAAAGTGGCTGCAGACGCTGATCTGAGAGCAGCGTCCGCTGAGGAGCTGCTGGTCGAGGCTGTGAGGAAAACACAGCTATCGTTACAACTGTTCCAGCAGCAAGATAAAGGAGGTCGAATAAAACTCACCTGAGAATAAACATCTACTTTGCCAACTGTGCGGTTGCTGAGTTGTTGTTTTTGTTTGTGTGTTGCGTGTGCTGCAATGGGAGGGATTACCAGTTCTCCCCTGCGGTTCATCTAGGAGTATGAATTGTCTATGAAACAAAAGTCTTGTAGTCATGTCGGTGAGATCTGATGTCTTAATGCATCTAATGGTAGGTTGCCATGGCACCAATTTGCATGTTACTCAAATACAGTTTACATTTTATGAACTTGACTTTTCTACAAATGTAGTTCTTTCATTACAATGCAAACCATGTTGTCACCAACTTTTCTTTATTTTTTTGTGATTGCATGAAACAGCCGAATCAAACACTGTTTAACACACACACACACGCTCTCACACACACAAGCACGTCCTGCAGTTTTGCAGCTTGTTGGATTTTCCCACGGAGACAAAACTGAAGAGTTGCTATTTCACAAACAAGGAGTCTAAATACAAGAAGCAAAGGAAAGGTGTGACCTCTGACCTTTGCACAAACCAAATGAGGATGAAGGGGACAGAGATGGAGAGTCACGGTTATGCCACCTCAAACCCTTTATTATAAAAGAAATTAGGTGGAAATCTCTGTCATAACGAGATGAACATGCACATCTGTGTAATCATGTAGGAGGGGAGAAGGTTTGTCACAATTTACTTCATTAAAACCGGTTATTTTCATCAGAGACCTTGAAATTTCCCTTATTGGCACAATGATAGAAAACTGAGCGCTTCCTGAGGCAGGTTGGCCTAAATGGAAACAAACATAAAACATTTGTCTTATATTAAATCTGAGTCAGGAGAACAGTATAATTGTCAGCCTAAACTTGTTACAGGGCTGTTGCTTGTTAAATTCCACATTTATATTCATTGCCATCAGATGTCGGTCTGTCTTGTGGGCTGTTACTCACGCACCATCCAAGCAGACAGCTGGTGCGGAAATATGGGCTAGGATAGCTTCTTCGTCTCCATCGACAGGTGACGGAAAGTCAGTGTGAGGGCGTGCAGCTGTCGCCTGTTCTCTCTGCGTTTGTTTCTGTGGATCTGTGCAAAAGCTGTGTTATGTGCTGCAGAGCACCGTGCACGTAGGTGTGAACGAGGGTGGGATTTTTATCACAGGCTGTCATGTTCCCACACATTAGAGGAGCTAAAGACGAGACGAGGGCAGCCACTTGGCACCAGCATCGGCAGTCACGTAAAGCTTCCAGCTCTGACCTTTCAGCTGGATCCATATGCACAGGAACACTCCAAAGGCAGCATCAGCAATCAGTGTCACACTTCTGCACAAAGTACAGTACGTCCACTGCATCGTCAATGGAGCAGAATCCGTCTTTGGCGTCCGGCAACCTTCACATTCTGTGCACTTTAGTTATACGAGAAATTTTAAAAAAACTTCTACTTCACGGGTCTTTGAATACAAAGTTTGGTAAAACTTTGAGCTCAGTTCGATTTTTAAACATATGGTGAAAAACCACAAGGCATATACAGATATCATAAACTGATCGAAAGTGCGAGTTTAAGGATCCTGTTTAGGATTGTTTTAAGTCCGATAGACTGATGCTGCACATAAGGTTAAAAACAAAAAGGAGAAATATGCCCTACTTTTACACATTATATAAATATTGATTTGTGCTTGTTTCTTAATATTTACTGTATAACGTTATGTTACTATGATTGTTTGATTGCACAACAGTTAGGCACTCCTCAGGGATGACTGTTAGGAATACAGCATATTTGTTATATACCTAAATAGGCCGGTCACGAAAAACAATAAATCAATTAATTGCATAATAAATGAAAATTCGACCTTATTTTCATTTATCGGCTTTATCATTTCTTCTTGTCTCTCTCTTTCTACTGAAGACACTGGATGACGAAAAGCTCAAGTCTGGTGCTCTTCACTGACCCCTCCCTTTATCTTTTCTTTTTAAAATCCATTTTAACCATCCAAAGTTGCAATTTTGGATGGTTAAAAGCAGCTAAGCTGAGAAGCTAAGCTACGAGCTAAGCTAACAGGCAGCCCTCGGGAAAAAAAAAACTCTGTCTTGTTGAAGCTCCAAAATTCACAATTGAAACCTGTGCTTCGTGTAAAAAGTTGTTTTGCTCTGCAAAAAAGAAGCTGAGAACTTGTTTACTGATTTTTTTAAATTAAAAGCTTAGTGTGAGAAATGCTATGCTAAAGAGCTCAAACCACACCGAACGTCCACCATTTTGAGAAGCGAAGAGAGGCAGCCCATGTCACGTCAATGGGGCTCCCTCCCGTTTTTCTTATTTCTTAGAGACACACTGCTCGCTCCCTCACTATCCATCCTTCAGTTGAAACAGTCTTATACTGCCATCGAGTGGTCAAAAAAGGTTCTACACTCAAAACAAATTAACAAACATTTCTTTGTAAATTTGACAATAACAACTAATTATTGTCAAACTTCAAACAATGTTATCTTTTATTGCAATAATTTCTGAGACAATTAATCGCCCAGCAACATTTGTTCTCGTGACAGGCCCATACTTAAACATATTAATAGAAACAGGTTTAATCTCTTCCAATAGTTCATATTGTACCCTAATTGTGTGGGGAAACTGTAAAGAAAAACATTAATACATGCATTTTAAAGATAAAAACTAAGTATTATTTGGTGATTAAAAATTAATCAACAATTCGACTTAAACCTTCTCAATGATGAGTTTCAAACCCTTTTTACATGTTTGAGTTTACGCTGCAGGCCTTGTTGCTTTACTCTGCCAGTTTTTCTACGGTGTAAATCTATGACCTTTCATACTGGTCACAGTGGTGCAGTTGGTAGAGCTGCCACCTCTCCGCATGAAGGTTGCCTGTTCAAATCCTGGCCCGGAACCTTTCTGTGTGGACTTTGCATGTTCTCTCCGTTCATGTGTGGATTTTCTCTGGGTACTCCGGTTTCCTCCCGCAGACCAAAAACATGCATGTTAGGCTGATTGGTAACTCTAAATTGTCCCTACGTGTGAGTGAGAGAGTGAATGTTTGTCTCGTTTGTCTCCATGTGTCCTTGTGATGGACTTGTGACCTGTCCAGGTGTCCCCCGCCTCTCGCACAGTGATTGGAGATGTGCACCCCGTGACCTGAAAAGCAAGAAGCGGGTAAAGATAATGGATGAATGGACAGATAAATCTATGAATCCAACTACAGTAATTTATGTTGAACCATGCAGTCTTCCGTCTCATTATAAAAAGACTGAACATTTTTTACTCCTGCATCTTTTGGCCTGTGCGCCTAGTTTCCTTTCTTGAGTATTTTCATGTGAATGCTGATTCTGCTTCTTTTGCCGTCATTTACTTCTGCATACTTTGTGCTATTTTAACCATGCGTACGTCAAAACATTAATCTGGATGAGGAATAGTGCAGTATGAGTTGGAGGATTTGTAACTTTTATCCTTTTTTTTATTTGACTTCATTTACAAAAATGGTCCAGATCTTTGCAGTTCAGTCTACTTCAGCATACTTGCTCATTTTTTGTCTTCTTATGCTCCTTTTGGGTATTTACTATGGTTTAGCTAATTTTAACTTTTAGCTACTGTTTGCTGCATTTTGCTACTTTTATGTTGTATTTAGCTATTACTACAATTCTGCTCATTTAAGCTTAAAGCTTAGGTTTTGATAGATTATGTTGAGTCCCCTCATCCATATGGTTTTGTTAATTTTAGCGTCAGTTTTAAACAATTAAATAAGCAACTTCAGACTCTGCAGTTGATTATTTGAATGTTACAAATTCATGTGTGAAAGGATAAGAGGGAAAAAGACAGTGTGTTGAGGAAAAGAGAGGGGGGAAAGCTGGATATAACCACAAAGTTATCTACTGTATCTCAGATTATACAATTTGCACACACCTGTCAAAATATGTAAAAGTACACTGAGCACAGTCTGATGCACATGCACACACAGTTTCTCTGTTTGGCTCTCGGTTTATTACGCGCACTCGGAGCCAGCTGTGTGGTGGAGGCAGGTGTCACTCTCAGCTCATTACCTCTGGCGGGGTTGATCACCCTGTTTGGAGAGCAATGAGACACACCTGACTGGAGAAACAGAGGGATCAGCGAACCGCCGGAGGAGGAGGGACAGGAGATGGGACAGAAAAAGATGTTGAGTAGGAGGAGGACATTAGTTTGCAAAGTAGCTGCGAGATAGTTGAAGATAAAGTGGAGAAAATGGAAATACGGCATGGAATTAAAGAAGCGGAAGACGCCGTGAAGTGAAAATCTGAAGAAAATTCAACGAAAATTCCTTTTTTTCGTTGCTTTTAGTGCAATTTATTTAGCTCTTTTAATGCCTACGTGCAGCTGTTGAGGAAGTTGCACACTTTCACCAGAATATGTACATTATCACCTGAAAGAAAGAGTTGTTAATGAATGACTGAAATGTCTCATTACTGCCTGATTACGAACATTTTTTCACACGTTCTTCTTCAAACATGCTGCAAGTCGTGAACTCTCAGGATAATTTGTTGTGGGTTTTTTTTTTTTTTTTTTCCAGATTCGACTACAAAGAGATGCTCCACAATTCCACCTTCTGTTTGGTGCCCCGGGGCAGACGGCTGGGCTCCTTTCGCTTCCTCGAAGCGCTGCAGGTAAAAACACACAAGAAAAAGAAAGTGCACACACAAACACACACCACTCTGGGATGGCATTGCCTCTGTTGTAAATTCTTTAAAAGCCTTTATGCAGAATCACTGGAAAGAATCATAATTATTACCTACTCAAACTCTCACTAAGCAATTGTTAAAGGATCATTAAATCATTACCACCTTAAATGATCAGACTAATTAACGTGTAATTATTATAAATAGAAAAGACTTTTGCTAAGATTAACAGCTTTTGCTTCATTTAAACAAATGATTTTACAAATACCTAACAAACTTTGTGGAAAAATGTAGACGATGATGTATTTTAAGCTGAAATGCAAAATTTGTGCCATTTGGGATTAATTTCCGACGACTCAAAACCAACAAACGCTGCCTTTAGGCCTGATCAGAGTGTGGAGCTTTGGCAAAATGTGTGAAACTAAAGAGGCAGACGGGCTGGAGTCAGGGTTGACAGACCACTTAATGTCTTTCAGCCAGCATCAGAGTAGCCAGAGAGCCAAAATAGAAGGGCTGTGTGCAGTACACCCCTATCATCATCATCATCATCATCATCGTTGTCGTCTTATCCACCTGAAACCAGGATGGAGACTTGATTTGTGGAAGAGCACACTAATGCATCACTGAGTGTCCTCTGGTTTATTAACCTTTATTTCCAGGCATATCCCATTGAGATCACAGATCTATTTTGCAAGTGAGGCCTGGGTCTGAAGGCAGCCTAACATGCATGCTTTTGGTTGGAAAACCAAAGGAGACCAGTATTTTCCTGATGATGTCTTTTCACTCATAACCTCAAGATACAGCAACGTCAAACTCTTTAGTCTCTGGTCAGTCAGACATGTTGGGTGTTTTTGGAAGGGACCTGCTACACATCAGTTGCATCTTATCGGCAAAGAAAGATGTCCTTGTGAAGTTGGCTCTGCTTTCTACATACATGCCAAACAGTGTCCCTGTTCACTAAACACTTTCAGGCTGTGTCCACATGGAAATGCAGTTTTTCCAAAACAATGTTTTTATTAGTCATTTTCAAAAATATCCTACTAAGACAACACCATTTGTTGAATTCTTCTTAATTCACAAGAGAAACATTGAAATTGGCTCATGCCTGTATGGATGCTTGGCCTGTATGTAGCGCCACAAAAACAGGAAACAAGGCGTGAATTAAAACCAAAAAAAGTGCACTGGGTGAACATTTTTAATGCAACATGAAAAGGACGTCCTTGGTTCATAGATTAGATTAAAAGTGGGGCTATGATGACATCATCACATTCTTGTTCTGGTTGTCTACAAAAAAAACATAAAAATTGTTTCCAAATTGTTTTCACTCTGGAACACTTTTTTTTTTTTTTTTATGCGTTATAGATTGCACAGGTCAAGTGGGAGATACAGTTGGAGAGGCAAGGCTGAGATGGTTTGGACATGTAAAAGGAGGGACAGTGGGTATACTGGTAGAAGGATGTTAGAAATGCATCTGCCTGGAAAAAGACAGAGGAGAAATATGGATGCAGTTAGAGAGGACATGGAGGTAGTTGGAGTGAGGACAGAGGATGCAGAGGACAGAGTGAGACGGAGGAGGACTCACTGTGGAGACCCCTGAAGAAGGAACAGCCAACACAAAGAAAAGAGGCATGTTGGGGTTGATAAAAGGCTGTTTCTGTGTGGATGGCTTGGCTAAACAAGATAAGATAAAACTTTATTGATCCCGCAGGAAACTGTTGTGCCAGAGTTTCAGTACAAAGAAACATACACGAGGAATCACACGAGATATAAAAAATAATAGAGGTATAAAAATAAATACCAACAATTAAGGTCCAAAACAGGTCAGGTGCAGACAGAAACATTAATGTGTTTATTGTAGAGCAGGATTAATTAAATATAAAATAAAATGTTAAAAAAAAAATGTTTGTGTGTAAAAAAAAAAAAAAAAAGTTGTGGATTCTTCTCAGGTTGGGCTTTTTCTTGTTGTGATTTGTGTCAAGACCTGAGGTGTGTGTGTGTGGGGGGGGGGGGGGGGGGGGGGGGAAGAGATGAAGTCAACCTGCTGTTTTTACACCTCTGAGCCCCCAAGTGAGGTAGTCACAGAGCTGAGTTGGCAAGTAGGTGTGAAGTTGGGGATGGTACCGGCAGCTCTCCATTGTGACCTGAGAGGCTTCATTTGTGTAAACCCACAGCATCACAGGATGTGAACATTTCAACTGGCGCGTTTGTGACCAACCAAAGGCAGCTTCAAGAGGACTCCTTTCTGACTTTATCACAGTGTGAAAAGACCTTGAGTGTGTGTGTGTGTGTGTGTGTGTGTGGGGGGGGGGGGAGATGGTGAATGCAGCACGGGTCTAATCAGAATGCTGTTACTCTGCTGAATCTGCAGGGCAGATTTATTAACACTGAACCACATCAGTGGGTTCTGCTTTAACCAATCAGGCTCAATAGATTTTTCATTAAACTAATACAAAAAATCATAATGATTGCCTAATGACTAGTTTAGCACAGTTAATTCAAAGTGATTCTGTATTATTTGACAGAAGCAAAAACAATGTAACGGTTGCTTTGTATCAAAAACTTGTAGACTGATGCTAATTTTTACTTGTTTACTTGTTTACTCACCCCCTTGAACGAAAACTTGTAAACTTCCAATACAAAGGCTGCTCTTACCCTCCAAAAATAAAAATTCAATGGACTGATTGATTCACAACTCTATTGTTTTTGGACATTTCGGACAAACTGGGCCTTTTTGAAAAAACCACACGTAAAGCATTTTAGAACAGATATGTTAGAAAAATGAACAAATGTAGATTTGTTCTGTCAAACTACATCGAGATGGTCATGGTAAAGTGTAAACTGGATTAGGAATGTAAATGCTTGCCTGAATAAATGAGCTCCAAACAGTCTGGTAATAAAAGCGTTGTTACATCCGTCTCTGGATTTTGACCCCATTTTTTCTGCTTTTTCCTCCGTTCAGTTATTTAACGGCTCCTCACTCCTCTGCGTTACCACTGCACTGTCCTTTACCTCTCCTTACCAACACTGTGGTCCACAGAGTGCGCCAACAGAAGTGTGCTTATCTCACTATCAGCACATGCACACCACCCGTCCTTTTTCCACTGGTCCGGCTCACACAATCCATCAGCTTCAGAGCGCTGCTGGACATGAAGGGTGGGGAGTCTAGATCAGACTTTTTGGGTTCAGGGACCCCCTCATAACCCTCACATTTATTAAATAATTTTCTTCAGTTTGTCTCTTTAATGCAATGGGAATATCTGTGTAACATAAATACTTGAGACCTGTTCCGTAATAGTGTTAACACAATTTTTATACTTTTAAACACGGGCTATTTTTCCATTCAAGACGCAATTAATTAACGTTTTTAAGTTTAACTTCCAAAAATTACAGTTTTGAGAAAATTAACACTATGAAAAACCACTTTAAAACTTTACGCATTCACATAATGAACATAATAAATGTATCACCACTTCTTAAAAATTATTACATAAAACTCTTTACATAAAACAGAATCGTAACAGCAGTAGTCATACCAAGTGACAGGGTTTCATTTGTAAACTGATTGATGCTGGAACTAGGGTTGGGCGATATGGACCTAAATGAATATCTCGATATTTTAAGATAAATCGCAATATATAATATATATCTCAATATTTTTATTCCTTCCATAAAGTAATAACAAATATATATTTCTGAATCAAAGCTTTGTCCCAGTTGTCACACAGACAGATTTATTAACAACTGTAACTGTACAAAGTAAATGTCTAAAAAAAAAAAAAGCTATTTACATATATTAAAGTTTTTTTTTAATGCATTTATTTACATATACAAGTACAAGTTTTAAGACATTTGATAATGTCCATTGAAAAATCAAAGCAAATATGTTCTTGTTTTTAGTGTTTCACCCTGTTTTACAGCAAGTAATAAATCTCAAGTCTGATTCTAATGAAGTATTCAGTCAACCTTTAATAACCTTTATTAACAAAGCTCTGACTCTGAAAGTGCAGAGCTCAGTTGGAGGGTTTTTTTTTTTTTTTTTTCTGGACATGGACGGAGCCTTGTTGTTCAAGCTTGTTTGTGCTTTACTGGTTTACTGCTGTGTCTAAATACCAGAAGAACACACAGCAAATAAATCACCCTAAACTGGATATTTGTCTCCATGTTTTTTAATGAGAAGACAACTTTATACCTTGCCACTCTAAAACTGTTAATTTCCTGGCGAACACCAAACCTCTGCTTTGTAGCAGCTACCCAGTCATTTTTTATTTTCTTTTATTTAGAAATTTATTCATTTCATTAAAAACAAAATAACTATATACAAAAGAAAACAAAAATATATGTATACGATCAAAAAATAAAATGAAAGGCTGCAGAAGAAGAATAAATGTTATGATATCTGTCCCTTTAATTCATTTTCATTTCATTTTAACTGGGGGAGTGGTGGTGCAGAGGTGAGAAGATGGGCTTGTGATCTCTTGAAAATGAGTTCTCGTGGCTCATGAGACTACCTGGATAAATAAAGGGTAAAAAAATAAAAGATAAATAACACCTATCAGGAATTTACAGTGCTGTCCCACTGTGAGTCAACAAAGAGATCTAAGCTCAGCTTTGTAATTCAAATAGTCTTCAGGTGCTGCAAGTGGTGGGGGAGGGGCAGGTTTGTATTCTGTCAGGGAAAAGGAGGAGGGGTGGAATGAAGGTGCAGACTGGAAGGAAAAACTGGCAGATTTATAACTGTATGTAGAGTATAAGACTATATTGTTTTATAGCAATATAGTCTCATTTTATATTGTGAATTAAATTATATTGATATTTTAAAAATATTGATATATCACCCAGCACTACCTGGAACCAGCGTTGCCAGATCTCACGATAGAAACAAGCAACCAGCTCTATGAAAACAAGCCCAAAAAAAGCCCAACTGGCAACCCACCACATTGTGTAAAACAGAGGCCGTTTTTAAACAGTATAAACATACATTTATTACGGAATTACACATAAACCACAGCAAAATTATGATAAACACTTTGAATACCATACTTTTAAGCTCTGATTAAAAAAAAAATACATTTTGCATATGTAACAAATATGTAAATCATATTTGTTCTACATATTTTTAAAAACAAAACATCCTGACATCTGCGTGTGAGTGGAGCCCCCTAGTGGTTGGCCACAATATGAGCGTTTGAGTGTGCGCGCCCACAGACGTATTTGTATACGTCTAATTGTGCGCCTGTCGCCTCGCCAACTTTGGCAGGAGCGATAAAAAGAAACGGGGGCGTGGAAGGGACAAACTACCTACTACTGCTAGTCTTTTGCTTTATTGTGTGGAGCTGGGAGATAATCAACTAGTTTCACTCGGAAAGGCTAGCCCAAATAAGCACGTTCGAAATAAGCCAAAACAAACGCAACTTGAGACTCACAAGATTTGCAAGTTACTTTAGACAAAAAAAAGTCCAAAGTCGCTTGTAATAAGTGGACTTGACAACACTGGTTGGAGCGCAAATAACGGGTGGGGCGGGACAGTCCTGGAGGTCCTTCCCCAAAATATTTTGAATAAAGTATATGTTATTTCCTGCATTTTGGTGTATTTTAACAGGTTATTAAACACCTATGTGCTTATCAAATAAATAAAATTTAAATTGTGGACCCCTAGGCACCGGCTCATGGACCCCCGGGGTTCCGGGGACCCCAGTTTGAGAACCACTAATCTAGAGGGTTTACTCTCGAACGCCGTTCTGCTCAGAGGTCAACTCTCTATTTGTGTGCGTGCGTGCGTGTGTGCGTGCACGCAGCAGAGCCCCACTTCTGGTTTAGATGACACCTGTATGACCTGGGAGTGTCGGCGCCCTCATTACATCAAAATCCCACCGCAGAAACGCGCACGCACGAACACCTGTTCACGCTCGCCCTCCTGTCACCGCTCCTTTAGCTAAAGGTCACATTCAGCCTCGGCGCGCCCCCTCTTTTCATCTTTTATGACTCTGCTTTCACTTTCCTCTGCTTTTTGATCTTCCTCCCCCCCTCCTCATCACCTCCTCTGAGGGTTAAACTCCTGCAGCTAATTTCACTAATCAAAACTGACGTTTAAAAAAAGAATAGCGTCATGCGCACATCAAAGAGTCCCTTTTATTGATTATCCATCTTGTGAGTGATGTGGAGAGCTTGTAGAAGTCGGACAAGAAGCCGAGTAGGATGCTCTGTTTGCTCGTCTTTTACTGCAGCAAATTCTGTTTGGTTTGTTTTAAATCCAGACCGCAAATCTCATTTTCAGCTCTTTACTGTCGCCACAAACTGTCGCTCAAATGAGCTTGATTTAGTTAAATCAACAGTGTACTGATTTTATTGATCTGTGCTTAAAATACCAGCCATCGTATCTAAACGCTCAAGCTTCTATTTTTCAATCAGGAAAGCTGCCGAGTGTAAAGTTTGTTTAATCTTACGTTTGTGTAGCTAAGATCTAATCAGCATGGGTCCATGTAGGACTGTGTTTTTTTATTTGCGCTCTGTTTTGCAGATTTAATATCTTAAAATGCTGCTGCCTAAGAGGATTAAAGTTGCAATAATCTTTTAAAAACTGTGTTTTAATGACTTTGACTTTAGTAACATCAACTGACTAGCATTTTTACAAATAAAGCTGAAGTTTTATGCAAAAACTTTCTGTTCATTGATTTAAAAAGGTGACACGTGCACATTTTATCCTTCGTAAGGTTAAGTTTTGGTTAAAGGTTGTTCTTCTGGCATCTAGAGGTAAAAATAACAACTTCTGTAAGTACAAATTTAAGGATTATCTGCAAGTTGGACAATAAAATACTGTAGTTTAAAGCCTTTTTTGGACGAATGTTTCCTGCTTCAGTGAGACTAATATTTATGATTAAAGAAGGAATGGGTAGGATTGAGTGACACCTAGTGGCAAAACTGCACATTGCAACCAACTAAAAATGTTTTTCTTTAACCTGCTTTTTAAAACGGTATAAAGAAAATGTATTATTTTAGCCAAGGCTTTACAAATGCAAAGAATAAACTAATGTTTTCCTTTTTTTAAAGACACTTCATTATTTTCATTCTGCTTTAAAGATGTCTTGTTTTATTACTTTAAAATACAACTTGCTGAAACTTTAAATTCATATCATGGCATGTGTGTTGCAGCTGCTGTCAAAGTTTAGACGTTAAACTTCTGCGTTTAGATGAGATTCCCATTGAGAATTGACATTTTGTTCTGAAGTTTGCAGCTGTTGATGATTTAAAGACCCTGTAGTAATACGTCCTGATGGAGTGTGGCTGTTGCTTTTGGACGTTACCTCCCTATGTTCTGCCTAAAAATGTGAAAAATGCTTGAACTTGTGGACCCTCATGGTTAAACGTGGGCTGCATCAGCCTGAGCTGCTTAACATTCAGATGGCTTGTTGCCTGAATTTTAATCTTTCTATTTCCTGATGCTCTCATTTGTACAATATCAACAGAAGCAAAACTCAAAAGCTGCTCTCAAAAGCAACGCCTGAGTACCGGGATGGAAAATAAATAAATTCTGCTGAAATAACAGAGTTGCTAATTGATAAGAAAGTCCAACCTTTTGTAAGCTTAACTGCAAAGAGCTGTAACGATCAGTCCTGGTTGGGTGGAAAGTATCCGTCACGTAGCTGCAGGGCTGTTGGTGTTTGTTGATGATGACACACCGGCTTCTGTCTTTGTGCGCCTCAGGCTGCGTGCGTTCCCGTGATGCTGAGTAACGGCTGGGAGCTGCCCTTTTCTGAGATCATCGACTGGAACACGGCCGCAGTCATCGGCGACGAGAGGCTCCTGCTGCAGGTAAAGGGCCTGCAGACACGCTCAGCTGGACCCTCCGGCTCTACACGCCAAATCTACACAGACTCCAACTCATGTGTTCAAATCTAGTTGTGTGAACGCTTGTGAAGCATTCACACTATTGTTTTCCTGTTTATATTTCTTATAGTGACTATACATCTTCCATGCATTGTGTGGCATCTGTCTCGTTCCACAAATTCTGTGCGATTTCAACAATTCCTAACTCAAAAGGTTCAGCTCTTTCAGGACAATCCTGCTATGACTTTTGGTATTGGTGCAGCTTTAGCTTTTTGAAATATTTAGCCTCTTCTAACATTTTTTTCCTCTTAGAAAATGATTGGGCTCTTTTTACATCCTTCAGATCTTTAGATCTGTTTACAACCTTTTACTGCTCCTTTCACGTTTTGTTCTGCTTCAGGTTTTTTCTACTTCTTTGTGCAAATTTACACTTTTTTCAGCTACTTTCAGCTGTTTTGTGATCCTTTCTGCTAACTACATTTTTGCGCTTTTTATATCTTCTTTCTGCTAATTTCAGGTTGTTATGCTCCTTTCAGCTTATTTCTGCAAGTTTAAGTTTTTTTCTGCTATTTCAGATACTATTTTGCTGTTTTATGCTAATTTTAGCTTTTTCGGCTAATTCCACATTTTTTGCATTCATTTAAACTTATTTCAGCCTAATTCAGCAAAAAATGTGCTCTCTCCACTTCCTTTTGATTTTGTAGCTGCTTTTTAGCTGCTTTTTACCAATTTCAACTTTGTTCAGGTAATTTCCACTTTTTTGTGCTAATTTCTGCTTCTTTCAGTATAATTGGGCAAATGTGTTCTTTCGGTTTTCTTCTGCTAATTTAACTTTGCTCTACATTTCCAGCTACCTTTGCTAATTTCAGCTGTTTTCAGATAAATTCAAGTTTTTCATGGTAATTTTTGCTACTTTTAACCCAATTAACTTATTTATAGTAATTTCAGCTTGTTGTGCTCCTTTCTTCTTTTTTTCTGCTAGTTTTAGCTTTTTCAGCTACTATTTAGATGTTTTATGCAAATTTTACCCTTTTCAGCTAATTCCACATTTTGAAGCTCATTTTAGCTCTTTCTGCCTTTTTATCTACTTTTCAGCATATATTTGTTGTTGCTAATTTCTGCTCATTTATACCTAATTCAGCAAAGATGTGTTCTTTCTGCTATCTTCTGCTAATTAAGGCTTGTTTTTTCATTTCAGCTACACTTCAGCTTTTTGTTTGTGCAAATTTCAGCTGTTTTTCAGCAAGTTCTTTAGCAATAAGCATTCACACTGCGTTTTCTCAGGAACTGCAGTTTCTCTAGTTTAGTTTTGCTTCCTGTCAAAGAACATTTGAGCAGCGCACGAAGATAATGAACAAAATGCACTTTTAGATTTGGTTGGAACGACTCGAGCGTCGTGGAGAGAAAAGCCGTCATTTTAATGGACTGCTCACTAAAATCCTAATGTCGTTTGGCACTAAATGTGCTTTAGTCATCCTGAATTATTGTTTAAACGTATGCATTTGTAATATATTTTGCAAAATCCATAAACCAGGTGGCGGGCGCATCATTTTCTCAAATATAGGAATATAGAGAATTTTATTTACAAAACGCTTCATATTTGAACCAGTTAAATCGGACTCCTCAGAGGAGGCAGTGTGTTTTTCTTTAACTTTTATTCTCCAAATTGATTAAAAATAAAAAGTGACTTGTCTTTTTTATGATCAAATGCCTGCTGCAGCTTTTATGCTTCTTTTTTTTTAGTTTTTGTGTGCGTTTCTTGTTTTGTGTTCTTCTAACATAAGAGCACTTTTCTTCTTTTATAAATACTTCATGGTGCTATTCGTTGGTCTTTGTGAGCCGAACTCTAACCTTTTCAGTCTAGACTCTTTGACCCTCCAGCTAAGGATTTCCCCAGAATATTTGAAACCAGGCCGGTTCTGTACACTTTAGACTCGACTGGGGTCAGGTTTGAAAGGGAAGCTCTGCGTTTCTGTAAACATGCTCATTAGCGTTCTTGCTGAGACACGGATGCTGCTTCAAAGCTGCAGCACAGATGTGTGAGCGGGTTTGATCCTGTCGTGTCGCTCACAGCCAAACAGCAAATTAAGAGTGTCTCCCAAAATACCGAAGTCTTCCTCCCCAAGTTGCAGAAATAAGGACTTGACACCTAAACCGAGCTGACGCCTCTTAAAGCAAGAACATCTCAAGAGTAGCTCAAACATCAGAAACTCTGTCCTCGCTCCTAAAATGTTACTTTTTGTTTCATGTACATCAAGACTTCGTTTTTTATTCGTTCCTACATAAACACTTTGATTTAGAGCATGGATGCACCAGAAGAACAAGTGATATTTGCTGCTGTCCTACTTTTTTATGCTTTTTTATTGTGTTTCATCGTGTTTTGGACCATAAAACCCAATCACATAACAAATATTCTCTGTAAATCTACAGACTGAGTCATAAAAAACAAGGTTTTATCATGAGCTCTGAAATACACGATCGGAGTAAAAGTGTGTTGTTTTAACATAAACGCTGTTTAGGAACTCTAATTGGGGACTTCCTCGTAAGGCAGCGCCCACCTAACGGGTTTCTTAACTTTATATATTACTCTTCCGTCAACTGTAATGTGGCCCGTACTGCAACGTGTACTCCCACAAATGTTACATCGAAACGACCGAATCGGCACCGTGATGTGTGCCATTACTTTTATTGGCGTTTCAGGTTACCATGGCGACATCATTTGCAAACAAAGACGCCAGTTTTATTAGATATTTTTCATAGATTCTGGTTGCAAATCAAATATCCAAGATGGCCACCTGAGCTAAAAAGGAAAAATAATGTAAGTCAGCCACTTTTAGAGATACTAAGCTGAACTTTGGTGTGGTGTTAGCTAAGCCTGTCACGATAACAAATTTTGCTGAGGGATTGGCTTAGAAATTATTGCCATAAACAATATTGTTTGGAATTTGACAATAGTGATTATTGTCAAATTTAAGAAGACATGTTTAATTTGTTTTGCGTGTAATACCTTTTTTTATCACCAGATGGTAGTATAAGACTGTTTGAACTGAAGGATGGATAGTGAGGGAGCGAGCAGCGTGTCTCTTTAAGAAAAATGGGAGGGAGGCCCCTTGACGTGACATGGGCTGTCTCTTGTTCTTGTTTTTTGGTTCTCAAAGTGGCAGCCGCTCGGTGTGGTTTGAGCTCTTTAGCATAGCATTTTTCACACAAAGCTTTTAATTAAAAAAATCAGTAAACAAGTTCTCAGCTTCTTTTGGCAGCGAAAAATAACTTTTTAGACAAAGGAACGGGTTTCAATCGTGAATTTTGGAGCTTTGACAAGACAGATTTTTTCCCAAGGTCGGCCTGTTAGCTTAGCTCGTAGCTTAGCTTCTCAGCTTAGCTGCTTTTAACGATCTAAAAACTTGATTTTTGACGGTTAAAATGGATTTTAAAGAGAAAGGGAGTGGTCATTGAAGAACACCTGAGTTGAGCCTTTTGTCATCCAGTGTCTTCAGTAGAGACACGAAGAAACTATAAAGCCGATAAATTAAAATTATTGACCTAATTTTCATTTATCTTGCAATTAATTGATTTTTTGTTTATCGTGACAGACCGAGTGGTAGCTGAGAGCAATGCTCAATAATTCATGGGGACAAAAATCAAGATGCCACTAAAGCTACGGGTAAATGGCTTTAACTCAGCTAGTTTTACACATATAGAGCTGAAATTTGGTGTGGTTATAGCTGAAAACCTTCCCCATCACATACGGAATACAAATAAAAAAAATCCAAGTTGGCCACCATTGCTTAAAATAAAAAATAACCATAACTCATTGATTTTTTTAACCATTTTCAGCTTAAATTTGGTATGGTGGTAGATCAAACCCCAACACATAGTACTGCCAAATCAAACATTTAAAATGGCCGCCACGCGCCATTCCCCGTCAAAGTTTCTCCAGGAACTTTCTAGCGACTCTTATTATTTATTGATTTGCAAACGTTCAAATTAATTTTAATCAAAATATTTAGTTAAAGGGAAATACTTTATAATAACTGCCTGGCATTCTTCGAAGGGATGCATGTCTGCTGCATACATCGTCCGCCATTTTTAATGCTGGAGTTTTGAACTATGATGAGAAATAAAAGTTGGTTCATGAGCGATTTTACTAACACTACAGACAAAAACATTCTCTCCTCTCACCCATAAAGTCTTGAACATTTTGGTTAAAATTATTATTTTACTTTAAAGGAGACTTTTGGTCAGCACTTAAATAAATGTAGAAGTAGAAAACATCCAAACAAAAAGTTGTTAAACGATCGTTTGCAGCTAATTTGCAGATTTTTTTATGAAAACATTTTGCATAAAAGACAAAACTACTGAAAACATATTTACTACTTTGATAGCATCGGTCTCTCTCGACATCAGAGTTTTATCTGCTGAACTTCCTGTTGGTGTTCTCGGCATCACGTGTTGGTTCTGGTTCTAACCGAGCGCCGCCTCTCCGTTCCAGATCCCGACCACGGTTCGCTCCATCCACCAGGATAAGATCCTGTCCCTCCGACAGCAGACCCAGTTCCTCTGGGAGGCGTACTTCTCCTCTGTGGAGAAGATTGTGCTGACCACACTGGAGGTGAGGGGTCCTCACACACACACACACACACACACACTCTATTCCACTTCCTCCTCTTTCATCAATCTTTTCCTCGCGGGGCTGCGGTGCCGCTGCAGACCGACTAATTTAAAGCTGAAATCAAAACACAAGGTTGTTCCATGCTGTTTACAGGAAATCTCAACGGAAAGTTTCTCACGGGTTTATGAGTTTATTTAATTTAAAAGAGCCGTGTCTTATTCTAAGATTATAAATGGCATTAGCAGTAAGATTTAAATCGTTTCCCCCCCCCCACCTCAAAGGACACCTCAGTTCTTAACTGTGAAGATTCAAACCAGCGACCTCCAACCTTTATTTTTCTTTTTAGGTTATTTTTTTTACGAGCGTCCGTTGGCTCCTCAGATTTGAAGGACGGCAGTGAAAGCAGTTTGTGGTTTTGTCCTTGGCGTATAACGCGCTCCAGATGTTATGAACTGTTTGTCAGAGGATCTTAAACGTGAAATATGAGTTTTATGGAGCTTTCATAAAGTCGTCACGGCGCGTTCTTGATCTCGAAGGTCGACAGGATCTCCTCAGACCTCCACCACTCCTGATAGGCAGAAGTTGGGCTGCTTTCTGGACACCTATTTAAGGAGATGTTTCAGACCAGAAAGGGACCTCAGGGCAGACCCAGGACTCTGGAGGCACCCTTGGGAGCGCCTCAGACCCTTGATCTGTCTCAGATAAACAGAGAATGGACTGACTGTTTTAAGTGTTATGTTGCACACACCATCATCTTTATCTTTGATACAGTTCACACTGATGGAATTCATTTCACTTTATTTATAAAGCACCAAGTCACAACAGAAGTCGTCTCAGGAGAACACTGAACAGAAACATTCACATATAAAAATATGTTAACACTATTTATCTGAGGAGCAGACCGCTTTGAGTTGAACTTCATCACAGACTCTCATCTTGAGCATGAAGGCGACAGTGGAAAGGAAAAACGCCCTCATGAGGAAGAAACCTTTAGCAGAACCAGGTTCAGGACAAGCGGCCATCTGCTTCGACCGGCTGGGTTTGAGAGGAACAGATACACAATGGCAGGACGAGAATCACATGTTCAGATAGAAATAGTATCAAATGAAAATTATTCAATTGTAGCAAATCATTTAAGGAAATGAAGTCAATTTATCGTCCAGTAGTTTAAACCTATAACAAGCCAACCCTAACTATAGGATTTATCAAAAAGGAAAGTTTTAAAACTGGACAATGTGTCAGCCTCACGGACAGAAACTGGAAGTTGGTTCCACAAGAGAGGAGCCTGATAACTGAAAGATCTGCCTCCAGTCTGCATTTGGGATCTCTACAAGTAAGCCTGTAGTCTGAGAGCAAAATGCTCTGTTAAGAAAATATGGGACAATAAGATCTGTAATCTAAGATGGAGCTAGGTTGTTGAGGGCTTTGTAGGTTAGAAGATTTTGAATTATATTCTGGAAGGGGTGCTATCTATCCAACATGGAAACCATTCTCTGGAAAGTAATTTAAGAAGGGTCAGACTGGAAGCTCAGGAACTTCTTTAACTCCTCTGAGTTTTGTAGTTATCTAATTAGATTACACTTTTTGACTCAAGAAACAGTTGATCTTTTCAATCCCACCCATAACTTTAGAATAGTTATTCATAGACGAGTCCTGGCTTCAACTTTACAACCACTTCTTCCTTCATTTAAGTTTTCTATCGCTCACTAAACTTCTCTTTATTACAGCCTCACTGCAAAATTCCCCGTCGTGCTACAATCGTTTTTATGCTATAGCCTCCCTAATCTTTCATCTAAATGTCCCATTTCCACACACACTTGAACACACATCACAAGCGATCACTTCAAAGTGGATCTGATTCCTACATCTTTGGTATGTTTCGTATCTGATGTCTCTCACCCCGAGCTTTCTCTCACACACCCAGAGTCAGAACACGTCATGTGATCTGAATATGACACGATGCTCAGATGCACACGGCAGCCAGGCATGACCTTCCTGACATGCTGTCACTCTGCTCAGACGTGCACGCCTCAGACGGTGTGTTGATTTGAAGTGGCTAAATGCTTCATCAGGTCTAACTGTCCTGTAAAAACACTGCAGAGAGAAGGAGAGGGGTGGGGAAGAGGGCGAACAGGAACACAGATGGAGTTACCGTGGCAACATGGTATATTCATCCTGTTGACTCTGGACACACACGACACACTACTACTACAAATCTGCATTAATGCAACCTAAACACACACACACACCAATAGTCTGGCTGAATAAACACTTGTCAAAATTCACAAACACATGACTTAGTGTTTAACCCCTTAAAGGAATAGTTCAGATTATTTAAAGTGTGCCTTTCTTAAGTAGTAAGTATCTTACCTGCAGAAGACAGCAGTCAGAAGTCTCATTAAGATGCCTCAGTCCAGGACTGACACATGATCTGTTCTGACCACCTCTATCGCACCTCTATCCCTCCAAGGGGGGCAGTACTAGAACTGGACTTTTGAAAAGGTGGGCTGGCTTTGCTGCTCAAACTGATCTAAAGAATGTGACCAAGTCGGCCCCCTTGAACTTTTCAACCTTTTGCCACATTTCAGGCTTCAAACATAAAGATATAAAATTTTAATTTTTTTGTGAAGAATCAACAAGTGGGACACAATCGTGAAGTGGAATGCAATTTATTGGATGTGTCAAAATTTATTAACAAATAAACAACTGAAAAGTGGGGCGTGTAATATTATTCGGCCCCTTTACTTTCAGTGCCGCAAACTCACTCCAGAAGTTCAGTGAGGATCTATGAATGATCCAATGTTGTCCCAAATGACTGATGATGATAAATAGAATCCACCTGTGTGTAATCAAGTCTCCGTATAAATGCACCTGCTCTGTGATAGTCTCAGGGTTCTGTTCAAAGCACAGAGAGCATCATGAAGACCAAGGAACACACCAGGCAGTTCCAAGATACTGTTGTGGAGAAGTTGAAAGCCGGATTTGTATACAAAAAGATTTCCCAAGCTTTAAACATCCCAAGGAGCACTATGCAAGCAATCATATTGAAATGGAAGGAGTATCAGACCACTGCAAATCTACCAAGACCCGGCCGTCCCTCTAAACTTTCATCTGGAACAAGGAGAAGACTGATCAGAGATGCAGCCAAGAGGCCCATGATCACTCTGGATGAACTGCAGAGATCTACAGCTGAGGTGGGAGAGTCTGTCTATAGGACAACAATCAGTCGTACACTGCACAAATCTGGCCTTTATGGAAGAGTGGCAAGAAGAAAGACATTTCTCAAAGATATCCATAAAAAGAGTCGTTTAAAGTTTGACACAAGCACCTGGGAGACACCAAACATGTGGAAGAAGGTGCTCTGGTCAGATGAAACCAAAATCCAACTGTTTGGCCACAATGTAAAACGATATGTTTGGCGTAAAAGCAACACAGTTCATCACCCTGAACACACCATCCCCACTGTCAAACATGGTGGTGGCAGCATCATGGTTTGGGACTGCTTTTCGTTAGCAGGGACAGGGAAGATGGTCAGAATTGATGGGAAGATGGATGGGGCCAAATACTGGACCATTCTGGAAGAAAACCTGTTTGAGTCTGCAAGAGACCTGAGACTGGGACAGAGATTTATCTTCCAACAAGACAATGATCCAAAACATAAAGACAAATCTACAATGGAATGGTTCACAAATAAACGTATCCAGGTGTTGGAATGGTCAAGTCAAAGTCCAGACCTGAATCCAATCGAGAATCTGTGGAAAGAGCTGAAGACTGCTGTTCACCAACGCCCTCCATCCAACCTCACTGATCTCGAGCTGTGTTGCAAAGAAGAATGGGCAGAATTTCAGTCTCTCCATGTGCAAAACTGACAGAGACAAACTCCAAGAGACTTGCAGCTGGAACTGCAGCAAAAGGCGGCGCTACAAAGTATTAACGCAAGAGGGCCGAATAATACTGAACGCCCCACTTTTCAGTTTTTTATTTGTTAAAAAAGTTTGACACATCCAATAAATTTCATTCCACTTCACGATTGTGTCCCACTTGTTGTTGATTCTTCACAAAAAAAAAAAAATTTAATATCTTTATGTTTGAAGCCTGTGCTTCATGTGTCTATTTATAGAAAATTAATTTTGTTTGCTGTGTTTTCAGAAATGCTTTAGGTCTGTCCCATGTATAACACATAAAGCAACATGTAAGAGCAGCTGGGTTCTGAGTGCTCGATCGTGGCCGGCATCATCAGCGACTTATGAATGGTCGTAGGGAGTTTAAAGGTGGACCGGTCTGTGTGGCCGTTCAGCGGAACTGTCTTGTGAATGTGGCTAGAGTGATCTCAGTTTGTAGAGTAAGGAAAACATTTTCATGGGGATCACTAACACACCGGAAAAGAACAATGTATTTCAGTAATAGTGATCCGGTGTCTGAAAGGAAACAAAAAGAAGTATAAATTAGCTTTTCTACTGCTGTTCATTCAGATATTTGTGCCTCCCTACCAGCTGTATTTGGCTGCATTTAAAAGAAAAAAGTCTTAAACTTCTTCTGAAATTTCTTCTTGAATTATAATCCCATCGTCTATCAAAGTCTCTTCCTGGCAGCAGGTTATGTGTTGCCTTCTACCTTTATTTGTAGTATGACATTTGACAGAAACCCAGAAATTTAAAGATATGAATTAAAGAAACAGTTTGTTTCAGAAACCCAGCCTGATTTACGATTCTTCTTGCTTTTTTTTTACGTCTACATAATATTTTTGGTGACTTTGCTAGGTATAGCCCCACATGTTAAATACGGCAGAATAAAAGAATATTAAACAGGTGAAGTGATTTCTGATTTTAAAGGTTGTTGCACTTTTCTAGGAAAGCAAATATTTATTTACATCTGTATGAATAATTTCACAGAATTAATTAGAAGAGCACAGCATTTATCAAGTTTGTGTGTAAATATCGACCAAGTTTTCAATTTTGACCCTCGTGTAGTAGAGTTTAACACTCCTGACAGAAAAGCTTGTCAAAAGGCTTGGCTTGAGCACAAAACCTGGACGTGCCTTAAAATATATAACAAAAAATAAAATAATAAGTATTAGTGTTTCTAGAGCAGACGTGGGCAACTTAAGGCCATGGCCCTTGGACAATCTCCATCAGGCCCCTAATGTCTTTAGTTTAAGAAAAAAATATATACAAAAAAAAGATTGATTAAAAGAAAAACAGCAATTTATCAATGAGATTTGAGAAAATTTAAATTAATCATCTTACACAAAATAGCTAGCGTGTGTAACATGTTAAGCTAGTGTGTATAACATGTTAAGAGAGTGTGTATAATATGTTAAGAGAGTGTGTATAATATGTTAACCTAAGGTGTATAACATGCCAGGCTAACATGTGCAACGTGTTAAGCTAACATGTATAACATGTTAATTT